CAATTTTCTTCAATGTATAGATTGAAAGCTAGAAAAAAAACAAGTTTCGAGCATTACACAGCATTATAATAACACGTACAATATATATGTCATTTTTAAATCAAAATATATTCTCAAATCAAATAATGTCATTATTATGATAAAATTGCAGAAATAAATTATTTTTAATTTGTTTTAACAATTCAAATTATTTATTAACAATTTATAACTACATATTTGTTTACCAAAAGTAACAATTTACTTCAATGTATAAATTGCAAGCTCAAAAAAATGCATAAAGGAAAAAATGCAATTACTGGTTTAACATACAATTGTTTATTGCAAATTTTCCAATTTGCAATTAAAAATGGTATTTGAAAATATAATATCTGAAACCGTTGTTGTCCAAGACATCGATTCAAAAAAAAAAAACAAAATGTGTTAACCAGCCGAGATAATGCAATTTTTATCGCGCGCAATGATTTTGAACTCGCCGATTCACATTTCTAGTGAATGTCCCCCACCACCACCTCTCATGCATTCCGATTTTACGCAAAAACGGTTTTTTATTTGTCTTTTTTATGGATGTTGCCATGAAGCGCATTATGTAAAACTTTTCATGTAAAAAGTACTTGACAAGACGAGGGTATTTGTTTAAAAACGAGCCCTCTATCGCTTATGGTTACACGTCAAATGTATGCCAACTTTGACCTTTGATATCTCGGCAACGAGTAAGCTAAATGTATCATTTTTTTTAAAGAAGCTTTTTTTAATGCTCTTTGAGTGAATAAATTTTGAAATTGATATGTTTAAAGCTCGTAAAGTTATTCAATTTGTTTATAAGCCTAAAAAATGTTTAAAATCTTCTAGGCGATTTTCTAGTGAACCGATGTGAATTTTAGAAAAAGCGTTTGAAAGTATAAGCCTTTCTTTATATGTAAAAATTTGAAAGTATCTCAGGGCCTTATTTGGGGCCTACTATAAATTTGAAAATTTGCGATTTTATTCTAGTAGGCTGAATTGCAAAATTATAATGCAAAACCTGTCCGACCGATCTTATCAAAATTTAGCACACATTTTAAACATATTAAAAAGTTTTTTTAAGCGGAATATGGAGCTTGTAAGTCAAGTTTAGAAAGTCGAAAACATTTAAAGAATTAACTTCATTTCTTTGTACTTTTTTTCCAATTATTGCTATTGTTTTAACAATAAACATTAAACTTTCAATTTTTAGCTAACGAAATATTGTGTAAAATTGAACAACGAAACTTTTAACTAGTTGTAATTTTTTCTCTAGGATCAATATTTTCCGAAATATAAACGAAAATAGGAGCAAAAAAATGAGAAATTTTCAGGGGTTTGCGCCTGGCGCATATCGTGATTATCGATACTGGGCACATCCTGAAGCGATTCCAGCAAAAAAAATAGCTTCCTATGGAAAATGCCCATTATGGCCTGAATTTCTACAGATCCCGCCTAGTCTATAAGAAATACAAGATCATATAACATTGTCGATAAAGACCGTTAATATACAAGGTTAACTGTATCATATACGATATCGATAAACTAAAAATATGCGAAGAGTACATTAAAACACTATTAAGCGATGAACGACAAGTAAAAAATACCAAATAACAATGAAAGAATTAGAAAATGCAATAAAAAAAGCCAGAAATAGAAAAGCTACAAGCAAAGAAAAAAGATAACTGAAAAACTTAAATACTTGAAAACATAGAAAAATACTTATTGGTCTTTTATAATAAAGTATACAAAACAGAGAATATATTAACATATTTAATTAACTTCCTATTTGCTATGCTTATGAAAAAAGAAAAGTGCCCTGACTATAAAACAATCAGTCTTATAAGTCAAGTTTTAAAAATCTTTCTAACTCGTTAATTTACTACAAAATTTATACTAGAATTAAAAGAAAAATACTTAATACGCATTATAGTTTCTGTAATATTCTTAAAACACAAGAGACAATTTCAGGGTGTAGAGGAGTCGAGACATGAAGCAACCTGTGTACACGATTCACATAAACATCCTGTGACTTTATAGACTTTGAGAAAGCATTTATCTATCCAGGAACATGAAAATTTATGAAAATTTGTAAACCAGTAAGACTAGCCGCCAGACACTATAGAATTATACAAAATCGGTACAACCATTAGCAAGCAAATGTCAGAATTGGACTAAATACTTTTAAATAATTTAAAATTTTCCGGGGAGCTCGACAGTGATGCATATTGTCACATTTGCTTTTCTGTACTCTGATCATCATTTTCAAACAGGCCAGAGTCGATGTCTGTATTACGATCAATGTAATTAAGATCAGTATTCAGAAATGGAAATTGGGATATAAACAAAGAGATGAAAATCCGCCTTGAAAAAGTAAGAACTCTATTTTTGTGACTAAAAAATATTATCTGGATGAAGTATTAATAATAACCAAAAAATAAGTCAAATATAACATCTTTTTAATATACTTGTATGAAGTTAAAATTTAAATACTCACTAAATCTCTATTTATTAAAGTTCAAGCTATTGAAATGTTTGTATAGCAAAGGCAATTACTCATAAGCTGGGTTGACAGAATGCCAAATGAAGAGATACTACAACGTCTAAAAAACCAACCCGAAGTAGTGAAAATCCTAAAAATATAATAATTGGAGTACTTTGCTCATGTTCTGGTATACACAGTGTAGCATGAATTTTTCCTTCATAGATTGATTATTTAAATATATAAAAAGAAATTATTTTTAAAAGCGAATGCTCCTCAGGGTATCTAGCGCATATAAAATAGTTTCAAATAAGCCTCTATATATGACATTGGAGCGGTAATACCATTCGTTTTGTTGTGCAAAGAGCAAGCGAGGATATATGCGATGAGGATGGATGTAAATATAGATGAGAATGAGGGAAAAAGAACGATAGTAGAGTGGCAACGTGGACGAAGGAGCTTATTTCCGATCTCAGACCGTGGTGGAAATGTAGGTTCAGGAAACTAGACTACCTCCTGACGCAGTTTTTGACCGGACATGGTAGTTTTGGCACCTTCACAAATAGAAAAGTAAAACCTGTCTTGGTAGACTGTATTGTTTGTGGGGTACCGGACGCTCCCGCCCACATTTTAAACTGCCAGAGATAGGCAGATGGAGGGGAGATTTCGAGAGGCGAATGGGTTTCGGGATGAATGAAAGAAACATTGTAAATATAATGTTAAGAGGAGAGACAGAATGGAGAGAAGTGCACTGTCTGACTTCTGGGTGGATGAAGAAAAAGAAGCAAGAGGACAGAGAAGGAAATTGAACCAGAAATCTGAAATTTAGGGTTAATATTATTTATTAGTTTATAGTCTAACGTCTGAACCATTTACTAATTTACGGTAATAGGTATGGTTATTTTTATTAGTTTTTTTAGTTATTTATTAAGTGGCAAGACCACCTCTCTGGAACGGTGGTTAATGTTTTAGCCAGAACACGGTTAATACGGCACTACCCTGGGGTTTTCGGGTCTAGTATTATACTCGGTCGAAAGATGCTAGGGTGCCTTGTTCTGAGACGTATATGTCGAAAAATGATTTCCCCCACCGTTGCCTGTCAGAATTCAATGGGGACCTTCTTAGGCTCTTACTGAAATCTTTCAATACGGTAATTAGAACAAAAAAGTGTATTTGAGCAGCCATCTGGGGAAAATATTAACTGAGTAATTTTCGAGTTCTAAATCGTTGTAATTTAAATAAATTCCCACAAAATTTTGAAGAACCGGCGCTTTAAATTCCAATTTTGAATCCAAAGCATAGTTAAGGAGATGATTTAAGGAAGAAGGTAATTTAAGCTCAAAATGCCATGTCGCAATCTTTGTAACATGATTGTCAGCGTTTTACTGTATCCTTGTGTCAATGCATTTGATAAAAGTGGGGCTAAGTCGGCCTTCATGGCTTTAAGTGAAAAATAAGCAGCTGAGTTTTGAAGAATAACATATTGTTATCACCCAGTTTAACCTAAAATCCGGTTTAATATCTCATATAATTTTGCCATACATAAGTAGAATTACTAGAAGCGAATATTTTCCCGTATATAAGAAAATTGCTTCAGATTTAAATAAAACCAAGTTTTAATTAAAAGTTACGATGTCTTAATGTTTAACTCCAAGTTTATAATACGGAACGGTTTGGTCTTTTAACCGAAGTTTCCTATATATATTTAAATAGTTTTAAACTGTTACTAAACTCGTAAATGAAAAGATCTCCACTAAGAATTTGGTAGGGATAGTTTAGGGTATGCGTATTTTATGTCTTTTAATTTAAGACAACCTTCTACGTTTTACGATTCGTATATTCGTTTTAGTTTTGTACATTAAAAACAAAGAAATAGTTTATGGTAATACGTTTTACTTTAAAATCAAATGAAATAGTACGATCAAATTCAAATGGAGTTTTACTTACAAAGTGAATCTAAGTGCTTTTTTCTCACCACAAGTATAAAATCTGTGAGTTAAAATTTTTATTTAATGTAAATAATTTACATTTAAGTTAAATACGCGTAAACAAAAATCAATTTTTGGTTATATATCAATGTCAAATGGTCGAATTTGCATTTATCTAACAAGCGAAACTTTAGTTAACAATTTTTACAAATTAACAAAGGGATAATAACTGTAAACCACTAAAAAAGTCAGGTTCGTAAATTAATGTCAGCAAGTGAAAGATTATTGATATCAAATATTTATCCTTCAATCCCACATTCAATTATTAAAAATGCACTTTCTTATTGAGATTAACTTTGGTAACCCCAATAATTTTTTCATTAATTTGTACACCAAATCTTAATGTTTTGCGCTAGGCTAATGTATTGATTGTCTATTGGATTAGTTGAAATAGTTGGAGCAGGATTTTGTGTTTGAGATATTTGAGTTTCCTTAGAAGTTGCTTTACCCGACTCAATAATTGTGAATTACGAAATGTCATCATATCGTATATTTCTTGTAATGGAGAACGATATATGTACTAATTGCAGGCAAGCGGACATGCAGCTGAAAATTACCCAACTACTACAAAAACTCAAACACCTCAAACACAAAATGCTGCTCCAACTACTTTAACTGATCCAATAGAAAATGAATACATCCTACTAATGGAAAACATGTCTTTCACGGCTCCTACACTATCGACTAAACCGGATATCCATATTTCACCATCTACTTATCTTACAGAAAGCACTGATTTTCAACAAATTTCCCACGATCCTTCCTCAAACAAACGAAATCGTTCTGAAATTATAACCTCTCCACAAAATTATATTCCAGTAAATAACACCTTTCAAGACGCTACATAAAAGACACAAAGTCTTTATTTACAGACATAGGAACCATCAAAGTAACTGACGATATAAAAAATTCGGACTTATAATTCATAAACTTAAATGATCTACAAAACTTATTGAAACTTTTAAGTCAACTACATAAAAATTTATCACATAGCAAATCAAAAAAAAGATGCACTAGACAAAATACTTAAATCCATACAATTAGAAACTAACAAAGAATCCGATAAAGAAATTGTAAAAGACATATTGTAATGGCTTTTTCAGTTATGCAGTGGAAACTACGAGGGTATTAAACTCGGTGTAAGATATTACAACAAATGAATAAAAAACTTACTTTATCCATACTTTGTTTACAGGAAACTTATTTTAAAAAAACTTAAATTCATAATTTAAAACACTTCACATGCACATATAAAAATATAGGAAATGTAGACCATGCTAGTGGTGGCGTAGCAATTTACAAATAAATTTAGCAATTCTTCAAATCAATAGACAACTTGAAGAGGTCGGAATTACTATCAAAGGGCCTTTAAAAATGAACATATCTAATATAGAAATTTCACCTACACAAAACCCAAGCAATAATAAAATCTCAGATTTGATCAAACAAATACCTTCACCTCGTCTAATACTAGGAAATTTAAATGCACATAATTACATATTATGATCAAAACAAATTACTTTTGACGAAGAAAATGATGCAAAAAATACTCGTTTTGACATTTCTACTAGTAAGTTCTCTGCCATAGACCTTTCAATATATGATCCAGCATTACCAGCTACCTTATCTTGGGATGTACTTTCTGATTTAAATGATATGACCACTTTACGATTGTCAAAACAAATCCTGACAGTATACTTTAGTAACACTTTAGTAATGTTGAAAAATGGAATCTCAAAAATGCAAATTGCAAGAGTATTATTAGTTTCAAATGAAATGAATGCAATACATGAAATTTTACAATCAAATAATAATATTGATAGTCATATTCAAGAGTTTTCCAATGTATTATTAAATGCCGCCGCAAAAGCCGTTAGTAAAATTAATTCCAAACAATCTTTTCGTCAGCCCTTGGTGGAAATCTGAATGTCAATCAGCTAATAAACTTTTAAAAACAGCATTAAGTCGATTCAGGAATATACACTTGAAAAAAAATTAGAATTCAAACGACTAAAAGCACGAGCTAGATTCATCACTAAAAGAAGTAAACGTGAATCATGGAAAAAGTTTGTTTTAGAATTAAATTCATCTACACCAGTTAATAAAGTATGGCAAATGGTACGAAAGATATCCGCAAGAAATACCCCAAACCATATTAACTTCTTAGAAGAAAATAAAAAAATATACAATTTCCCTCTAGGCATAGCCAATATTCTAGCTAATAGCTAGAATATTGGCTTCTAGCCAATATTCTAGCTAATAGTTTTAAAAGATTCTCATACGATGATGTTTTTCCTCCAGATTTTTTAAACAAAAATGAAAAAGAGGAATCCAAAGGTATTAATATACCGCCTGATGACCTTTCTCCTTTAAATTATTTTATAAACATGGATGAATTAAATGAAATCGTAGGCTTCCACGGCCAGAGTTAGAATTATAGTTTATTCGTCTTCCGGGTTAGGACCGTGTCATTTGTGAGTGACCCAAAAGTGGGTTCATCTCAAACCCACTGGGGTTGAGATGAACCCACCTTTGGGTCACTCACAAATGACACGGTCCAAACCTGGAAGACGAATAAACTATAATGGATGAATTAGAATACTCACTCAATAATTCTAAAAATTTTTCTCTTGGTCCTGATAACATCGCTGCAATATTTCTTTAAAAACTTTCTTCATCTGCAAACAATCACTTGCTGAATATCTATAATAATATATGGAGACATAGGAAGTTTTCAAAAATCTGAAGTTCATCTATCGTCATTACTATTTATTAAACAAAATCAACCAAAATCTCTGTCACGTTTATATAGACCTATTTCTTTAACTTGTGTAATGTGTAAAGTTCTCGAGAAAATCATATCCAGCAGATTAATGTGGTTTTTAAAATATAATAAATTATTTGCCCCGAAACAAAACGGATTCCGGAAAAATAGTTCAACACTAGAATATCTTTAAAACAAATGCTAGGCTGGACCTTCCTTTTTATGAAAGGGTAAATTGATACCTCAATGAACTTGAATTTCCAGATACCTATTGTATACCAGATATTAACACTGTTCCCCCTTGGACTGTTCTCATCAATATCCAACTCTCCCTATATAAAAATGCAAATAACCATCCCAAAGCATTATATCAATATATTCTTCAGAAACTTAAAACATGCAGTAACCATAATCTTATATATACCAATGCCTCTAAAACTATAGATGGAGTGGGAGTAGCATATGTCTAATAAAACAAAAATATTAATGAAATTCCCTAAATTAACATCCATTTACACAGCCAAGTTAAGCGCTATTCTTAATGCAATAAATTTTGTGGTATAACATAGTATCAAAAACCCTGTCATTATTACGGATTCCCTAAGTTCTGTAATTGCCCTTAATAACTTATATCCTAGCCATCCAAGTCTACTACTTATTAAATTATTAAATCAGCATTAAACCAACTGCAAACTATGAACAAAATGTCAACTTTGTATGGATTCCTTTCCATATCGGAATTGCCGGTAATGAGGAACTAGATTCCTTGGCAAAACTAGCAATCTTGAGTCCGCAAGCTATAGAAATCAGAAGCATTCCACATCTAGATATTAAATCTTTAATCAAAAAACTTAATAATCAATGACTGGCATACCAAGTGGAATCAGTCAACATCCAAACTACGAGAAGTAAAACATTCTATATTACTTTGGAAATCAACGCCAAATAAGCGTATACATCAAACCATCCTATCTCGTCCGACAAGAGGCCACACCGCCATCACAGATAAACATCTGCTTGAGAGTGAATTAAATGATGGAACTGATATGAAAAATTTGACATCATACTTGTATTCCATAAATGTACTAAATAAATTGTAAAACTTTAAATTGTACAACGCCAATGACCCTATGAGGTTAAGGCATAAATAAATAAAAAAAAAATCAAATGTACTGAGAAACAATTCTAAGAACAATTGTTATCACAGACAAAAAGATAAAACAGTCATTATATTGATATTTCAAAGAAACCTACAAATTTTAACTCAAATTATTTAAAATATACAAAAACACTAAATTTCATAATAATCAAGATTCTGTACTTACCTATATTGTAAATTAGTCTTTTAATTAAATTTCTTTTTACTTAACTCACAAATATTTTGCAATCCTTGAGGCGATTGATGGTTTTAAGCCTTCGGAAAGAAAATGCACTTAAAGAAGATGTATGTAACACATAGCTTGTTTGGAGAATCGCTCTTCTGAGAAACTGATAACATCTATGGAAGAAATTCTCCGACACATGATGCATATATGACTGTATGTTATAGCTTTTCACCTGGGTAAATGAACATCTCAAATGTTCAAATATACTAAATTTTTTGACTGCTTTATCATAAAGCAGTTATTCTTGATCATAAACTTAATATTCCGTTTTATTTTTTAGGTATAAATGGCATCAATTTTCTGTTGTCACGAGTTTAATCGCTGGACACGATGATTTCATACAAGCCGTACGAGAGAGAGTTTCTGCGATGCAGGTAGGTTCAAGATATTTACAAGTTTTAAAATGACATGTCTTAAGAGTCTACACTCTGCTTTAGTCTCACAAATATTTGTTGATTCTACTCTTTTTAAACGCATAGTTAACCGCTAACTAAAACGTGTCATATGACGACTATAGCTTAACAATATACCTTATAATGTACTAATAAAATTAAAATATCTCGGGTACAAGAACGTCTGGAATATTACATTATACATATAAGATTATTACAATACATAGGATAACTACAGTAAGTTACATTTTTTTTTTTTGAACGAACAATGTTACAATATTTGTTATATACGATAGTATAATCTACAATCTTTTAAAAAGTCAATTAGAGCACTGTACACATTTGGCGAACTGAGTATCTGTTTCAGGTTACAGTTTATATTATGAGCTAATCTATATAGTGCAGATAACTGCACTCGACGAGTACTGTACGAGTGTTCTACTGTAAGGCGCTAACAATCACAATGTTCGCAAGCAAGTGGGTTTTCGGAAGTCATCAGGTATCCGTGAGTGATGCGTGTGTGTCCTATTCGGAGTCTTTGAATGATAAGTTTGTCCCTCCTAGTCAATGTAGGTGTCCTAAATGAATATACAGTGGGATTAATTATATGCAGTTTTGTGTTTTGTCCATTCCAATGATTTTGCCATGTTTTGCAAGTGTTTTGTTTTATGATTGCTGCTAGATTTTGATGAAGTTGAATTTTTTCTAGGCTTAGGTCAGAGCAACTTGCTTTTCTTACTGCGATGTCTGCAGACTAATTTCCACGTATCCCCACATGAGGTGGGGTCTAAAGAATGGTTATTGATGTTCCCCTGCTGTGGTTTTGATGACACTGATGACACTGATGATGAAAGAGAATCAGTGCATATAGCTAGAGATTTTGTATTAGGAGAAGCCATTTCAAGAGCTTAAAGGATACCATATAATTCTGCAGTGTGAATACTACAAGTGGTTGGTAGTCGGTGTAGAGCACAGCCAGTATTATTTTCATCTTTAGATGCGTCGGTAAAAACAACTTGATTGTACAGTTTTGCATTTATTGCTTCTTGAAATAATTGTCTAAGGAGGTGGTTAGGAGTGTCTTCTTTTTTATGTCGAATTGGGCTAGTATTGAAATCAGGTAGCTTATTGGTCCATGGAGGATTATTGGAAGTACTGATGGTGGTAGTTATATTCAGGTCTATAGCTGCTAGCAAAGGATTTACTAATTGTGGTAGGGGGTAAATACATCTGTCTCTATTTGCAGGAGCGTGATGGATGTTAATGAGCTTAAATACTGGGTTTTTCGGGTTCGCTGAAACTATATC